TGGGACTGATTTTGGTAGTTTAAGGGATTTTGGTATCTACCTTGACTTAATTTCTGTTGGAACTCGTGGTGAGCTTTCTGATTGTCTTCGGACTTATTATGCTGTTTATTTTGTGCGTGATAACTCTGATTCGTGTTGGAATAGCCACTTGAAATGGTGGTTGGGTTAGCATTTTGCTGATAATTTCCCATGTTCCTACGATTGTTATTTGGATTTCCCTGAACATTATTATTTTTAGGTTTTTCAGTAACGCTATTTTCATATAATCCCTCTCTTTGAGCTACTTGCTTTAGTTTTTGTGTCGACGTAATGTCGTGTCTGGCTAACATCATGAAAAGCCTATCTGGTAATTTTTTTGTAATAACATCTTTGATTGTGTTATTCATAGCATTTGTATAAAGGGTTGTATTGCTAGGTATATTTTCTAGTGCTAACTTATTTAAAATAACAAAAGATTTATTCTCGAGCTCCTCGATGAACTTACGGACGTTTCCTTGGTAATTCGTGTTGTATAAGCGTCGAAGGAGTTCTTCAAATGGTGTCTGCACTTTGTATTCTTCAATCAATGCGTTTCTCAGCTCCTGCCAAGTGTTGGCTGCTGTCCTTTGTGATATTCTCTGAGCATCTCCTGTGACTTGCAATTCGATGGCTCCGTATAAGATGCTATGTTGTCTAACATCTCGGGTTGGATACAGGTGTAGGATGTAATCTATCCTTTTAATGAAGGCGTTTAGTTGATCCGTTGATCCGTCAAAGCTTGGCACCTGTCTAAGTTGTGAAAGGGCCTGGTTGAGGTGTTGTTCTGATAATTCCATTGTCATCTTGGTGTAATACACTTTTTTTTGAATAGTTTTGAGTTTGTAGGTTTGAACTTTATTGTTCTTTGATTTTGCACTTTTATTTTAAGTTAAAGTTTGTGATGGATTATTGTGTAAATGTTTTTTTTTTTTTTGTGTGTGTGTCTTAAAAAGACTCAGTAATAACGTATTGCAGGGATCAAACGATATGCAAAGCCAGTCGTTATTAACTGTAGTAGCTTTATTGCCCAAAGGGTCAATATTATTAAGCTACTAATGACCCGAAGGTTCTTGTGCGGATACGTATTCGAGAAAATTTTTTATTACACTCCGACAACACTTTCGGTCGCGATTGTGCGTTAGATCTGGGAATTAATTATCCTTTAGCGATCTTTAATTTTTCCCGACGTATCCTACCGGCTGCGCCAATTAAGTTTTACACGTTAGGTTACTATAAAAAAATATATTTCAATTTATTATTTTCACTTAACGGCTACTTTTGTTGAGTACATTCAGATTTGCTTCCCGAATATGAACTGATTTATCTAACTGTTGCGGTCGCTTAGCAAACTTCGCTTTGAGAGAGTTTGAGTCAAAATTGAGTGAAGTTTGAGCTGCGTCAGCAATTATGCGTGGGATAGTACTCTGATGGGAACATTGACAGTGGCGTGATATTTAGGGTGAATTGTTTATGTCTACCAAAGGGGGACAGTTTGATCTTGACCAATGTCGATGTTATCACCAGGCTCTTTGTTTACAATATTAGAAATGTTTATAATTGTGCTTATGCTTATGTGCTAAGTTATGTTAAAGGGTGGGTGCGACTATGGATATGTCACTATATATATATATATATATATATATACATGTGTCTATAAGTAAAACACAATGAGAGTGCAACAGAAGCAAACCAGTCAAGCCACCCAGGCACCCAAACACCCCCACTAGCCCCGGTCAACCCTTTAAACATTGCCGAACAGCTGCCGTAACTAGCGCAGCCGTTGCATCCCCAAAGGGCCATTGACTAATAGGATTTGAAGAGCGTAAAATTGGTTCGTTGTGAACATGAAATATGCAGTAAATCCTTCTGCCAGCATCCAGAACAATTTCACTTCGTGCCCGCCCCGTCCACAACCCCTGTCATACCGCTCGTTTCGCATTCTTATTTTCACATGTTTTTCTTTAATATTTGCAGCAACGTCGCAGCTTAAATATTCTTTGCAGCTTGCCATATTTTGCGTCCCGGCAATGCAGCCGGATCCTTGTTGGCGCTCGCATTCGCGCTGCCGCTGCCGCTGCCGCTGCCACATCCGGATCCTGGTGCTTGGGTCTGGGTCCTGACTTTTGCTATTACCGCTGCCATGGAGGCCAATGCACGCGCAGTTTGTTACAATTTCGCGGTTCGATTTCGCCCAAAGTCTCCATCGTCCTTGTTGTTGTCCTCCAGGGCGCGATGGTGTGTTTTATTATCGCAAATAAAGCGCAATCATTGTTGTTGCACCCACAGCAACAGCCAACGTGCAACTCTGCCACTTCGCCCTTCTCCGTATTTTACCCCAACTGGATTTTGTTCATGTGGCAGCTGGCTGCATGAAATATTGCAAATAGTTTTATTCATACCCAATTGAGTGAAATATGAAAAGCTTCAAGAATTTCACAAGCGCCTCGCTTTAGCCTCCTCACCAAACTAAGCAACCCTTCACAATATATTTACAGTGACTCGAAACAAACGAAGACTATCGCAACTGGTTTGTACAATAATTGTGCTGGAATTAATCTGATTGCAAAAGGGTTTGGTGTAAAAACGATAAAGCTAAGCAAACCAATTCGAATTGTCTTGCGGCTGGTTGCAATTTTTTTTCCTTTTTGTTTTTAATTGTATATATATATATATTTAATTTAAAAAAATATTTCTGCCTAACATTAGCAGCTTGAGCCAGCCAGCGACTTGTGAGCAGCTTGCACCTAAAAACACTAAAATTGATTAAATGAGTATGAATTATATTGGAGCTCATTCACAGTTTAGAATTTTCGTTGCATACTTTTGAGCTAGGAAATGAATTAAGTGAGTATTTGAATTTAAATAAATAAATAAACTGCCTAATATTCGTAGATTTTTTTTGCAATTCTATGATTTGGTGGTTGCTAAAGTATTTATTCTATGCCAAAAATGGTCGCCTTAAAGGTCAGCATTTTGTGAAGTTTTTGAAAAATCTCAGATTGATAAAGTCAGATTTTGGAATATGTTACTGTCCTGTACTCGTATTTTATGTATAACCACAATCGGAATTTTTGCTGGTTTCAGTCCAATATTTTCTGATGATTTTGATTTTACTCTCGCTTAAATAAAATCTTGTTTTGGATTTGTTATACCCTTTTGGTATCGAATGGATCATTTATATTGATTGTAATAAAAAAAAAATTGATTAGTAATGTTGGATTATAACGAATTAAAAAGGAATATATATATATATGAATGAACTTTTAGCGATCAAGACTACGAGTACTATACAATTTTTGTCAAATGATTGCGGCGGCTTTTCAAGCTTTAAAAGGCATTTGGCAGCCAGCCAGATGGCGATAATTGCGCATAATATTTATGCAGTTGCTGTGTTGTGCTGTGGCGCGCTTCATGATGCCATAGATGCTTCAAATGCCTCAAAATCCCTTGTAAACCTATAGAGTCAGTGCCAAGGACTTGGCCCGTCGTCTTATGGCTAAGCTAAGCTGGCTGAAGACATTCTCGCTTGTCGTTCATTCAACTGCAGCTTGGCTGACTTCCGTCGTTGCCTTTTATGATAAATTGAAACAAATAGCCAGTAACAGCAGCACACACCCACACATAAACACACATGCACACACATACACACGCACACACTGACACACACTGAAAGTGCAGCCAGGACTATGGCTTATCAGAAAATTGCGCTCAGCTGTTTATGAAAGCATAACAATGTTAGCCGCTGCTGCTGCTGCTGCTGCTGTTGCCTCCGTTGTTGCCGGGCCATTACTGTGCGGGGCAACTGCGCTGCGAACATCAAGCTGATCATCAAGCTGAATGGCTGCCCCGGCTGGCCGTAGCGTCGCAGCACATAACTCAAAAGAAGGATAAACAATTTACTTATCGCTGCTGCAGACCAGCAGAGAAGGCCTTCAACGCCAACCTCGGGACTTGGACGCAGTCTCGGCTGTTGGCTTACAGCTCGCTCAGCTCTCAGTCTGAGATGCTGCCACATTGGCAAATAAATCATAATAAATAACTTGAAAAACGAAACACCTTGCCGCATAAAAGTTGCACGTCGTTGTCTGCCTGGCTGCGTGCCTGTTGCCAAACAAGTTTTGCTCCCGTTGAAACTTGCCGTGTATTTGGCGGGCATTATAACTTTGTAACAACGTTTGCAACATGCACCGACAAGGGATTTGGTAGTCTGAAAAACTTGCAACATGTATGCAAGCCGAGTTTTAGACATGTGGAAACGTGGCAACGCTTTTGGATAGTTGTGAAAAATATTGGCTGGTAAAGATTGAAGAGTTGGGATAATTTTTGATTCATTCGAATAGTTACAAAATTATTCAGAACATAAACAAGAATTTGTTGTATACGATTCTCTGGCTAATGCATAATACTTCAAAGACTAATGTCTTGTGTCTTTGAAAGCAGCTGCTGTGAAGGGTATCTCAATTTCCAGTTCATTATCCTACTTGCCTTACTTTTCATTCCTGTTATTGTTGTTCCTTTTTTATTTTTGTTGTTATTGCTGCTGATGGTGTTAGTGTCTGCTTACAGTTTAACACTTTGCTAGCTCTTGGCGTCTGCGTGGGGGGCGGCTCATTTTTGCAACTGGTGATAAAAATTGATACATAACTGGCATAAATCAGGCGAGTGGAGCGCATTACGCATACGACGCGTGTGTATGCCAAGCCATTTATTAAATTAGCCACAGTAGCATCAGCATAAGCAACATTCACACACACACACACATAGATACGCGCTTGCTCTTGTACCCACCGCGTATTCTTGCCAAGGGCATGGCATTGGTATCGCAGGTAATTTGTAAATATCTGACAGATGCGCTGATAAACTCATTGCAGAGATTTCATTCATTCTCGACGGCGTCTCTGTGATTTATGTGGGGCTTATTACGTAAACACATAAACGCACACACATACACACACACACACACACACACATATACACAAACGTACAGTTAAGTATAACAACACTTTATTCGTAATACTTGGGGCGTACTTAATGTAACATCACAACGGGCCAAGCAAATCAATTGCCTTTCTGCCTCAGCTTCAGCTTCATCTTCAGCTGCTCATTCAAGGCGCAAATGCCGGCTGATTCAGCTTGGTTAGCTCTGGCTGAGATGTAGACTTATTTTCCTGGGCCAGCGGCGCTTTTGGCAGACTGAAGAATTTCTATAAATTAAATTTGTGAAAAATGAAATTAGGCTACGGCTGCTTTGCATAATTTAAATTATAAATTAGATGCCGTCGATGCCTGATGGCTGATGCTTACATCGTGCCTGCCAAAGTTCCTTGCTTCCTTGATGGTGTCTGGCAGCTTCTTGTGCAGGGTCTCTGGCAGAAACAGGGCACCGATTCCGCCCAGCAGAAACAGGGTGCCCAGTATATAATAAGGTGCGCGTATGTTTACCGTCGTCCCCAGATACACCAGATAAGGGGCCAACACGCCAATTGCATTTGCCAAAATTGTGCCCAGTGCAATGCCCGTCTGACGCATGCACGTCGGATAGATCTCCAGGCACTGCAGATTGGCCGTAAAGAATGTAACCGCATTGAGAAATTTGATGAACGTGGCCAAATAGATCATCAGCCACTCGAAGCGCTCATCCGTGGCATAGGCAATGATGGGCAAGCAGGTGATGAAGGAGACAAGAAAGGATACCGAATTGGTAAAGCGGCGTCCGTATTTATCGCCTGGCGCATGTGGGAGGAATCCAATGCCAAAGAGTGGAAGATAAGCATATTTGGCAATCAATGGTCGGTTTTGTGCATACTGTACAGCCTGCTTCTTTTTTTTTGTCTCTTACTCACCCAGAAATCTGCCGACCATGTAGGCGGGTATTTCCACAATGCTCTGGTACAAAAAGTTCAAAAACGGATTGCCCGCCATCCGCGAGCTGAACAGCACCAATGTGAAGTACGAAACGGCAACCACGCACCTGGTAATGGTTCAGATGGGTTGTGAAGAAATCAACCAAAATGGCCAGCAGTTAGGTATGCAAATTGGTTTTTTGATACGCACCAGCTAAAACCCATGATGGTGGTGTTTCGCGCCAGACGCCAGCCGGCAAACAGCGAGGCCATGCCATAGGTTACCTCTTGCTTGTCCAGGCTATAGATTTCGGCCAGCTCTTTCTCGGTCACATCGAATGTGCGGCCATTAATTTTGGCAATCTTCTTTAGCTGCACAATGGCTTCGCGGTAGCGCTGCTTGCTAATCAACCAGCGCGGCGATTCGATGACGTATCTGAAAACAAAGTAACGAAAAAGAAACGAAAAAGATAAAGAAGGGGAAACAAATGCGTATGGGAATGGCTATTGACAGCAGCTTGGACAATAGTTGGAGCATTCAATTGAATTGACTGCGTGACTTACTTGGAGAAAATTAAAACCATCGCCGTGGGCAGCGATGTTAGCCACATAAAGGATTCCCAGTGGCGCAGCCACCAGAACAGCAGCGGCATCAGCGTTGTGCCCACAGACCAGCCAACGCTCTGAAAGAAGGCAATTCGACTGCGATCCTCCCTAGCCAAAAAGTTAGTTTTACGAAACTTTTTCGTTTTCTCATTTGATTTTTTTTTGGTTTTTTTGTTTTGCAAACTTACTCTCGTGAGATTTCCATGCCAATAATTTGCGGCGATTGAAAAAGACTGTTGACGGTGAGGCCCACAATGCCGGACATGATGAGAAACCATGTATATGAGGACGTGCATAGAACGGAGCCCATGCGTCCCACCGAGCAGAAGACGACGCTAATGTAGTAGACCACTCTGCGTCCAAGGCTGGGACCAATACAAATGCCAAAATTCAATTACCAATTGCCAATTGCGCACATGGACTCATAATTTAGTTTTGGCCAACTTACGAATCGCCCATTTGTCCAAATATAAAGGAACCAACCACCTCCGTGACGCGGCCCACAACGAACACATTTGTTACAAACAAATCCTTGGCGCAGACCCAGTTCTGGTCAGTGGGTATTGTGCTGTCATACCAGGTCTGGTCGTAGCTCCAGCCATGCTGGCAAACTGTCAATTGTAGAGCCCCACAAAATGTATTAGAGTGCAAAGTTGTAAAAATTTATAAGACAGCGAACAAAATCGATGCAAGTTTTTCCATAAGCCACAAAGCCAGACAATATATATCTGCGTATGCGTGTGTGTGTGTGTGTATGTGTGCTACTCACCTGTGGTTTGATTTTTGCTGCGGCTATTGGTCCAGGCTGAAAAATCGGTTACTTCTGTAAAGTTCATATCGTACATTTCACAGCTGCTGTGCGTCTCCTTCCCCCGGTTGTCTGTCTGTCTATGTATTGGAAATGGTAAATCTTAGCACAGGCTTTGAATCTTTGCTTTTCTAAAGTCAAACTCACTTGGGCAATGTCAAATCGCGCCACTGATCCAGCGTGTAGTTTGTGAGCTCCCTGCCCGGCACAGTGCACCAGTGCTCGGGCATATTGAGTGCCAATATGATGTTCATGTAGATCAGGGCACCGGCAAAGGCCAGGCCAGCGACAAACACATAATTGTAGAGTGTCTGATAGCGTCCATGGTTGCCCGCCTTTTCCATGAGTGCCTGGAATGGATCATTCAGCTCGGATGCATCTATATCCATTTCGTGTATGCTGGCCGCTGTCGTAGACACTTTTCTACTGTTGGCCACCACCTCTTCCAGTTTATCTTTCATTGTGTTGTATTAGTGTTGGCTGCTGTTGCTATCTACATAAATCGTTATAAGATTACCACTGTGCACACAAATGCTGCATTTATCTTTATGAAAGGCCTCACGCCTCATGTAAAAATGATGGAGCCCAATAATACAGTTTTATTATTTTGAAAGTTTAATAGCGCCCTAAGTGCGTCAAGTCCGGCCGATGTTAAAGCTATATATAGTCCATCTGATATAAGTTGCTATATTGCAATATTTTAATTGTATTCCGTGAATTTCACATATCTTCAAATCTAATAGTAAGCATTTGGTCAAAAATTGCGCAGAAATTTTGAATGTGATAAGTGTTTTATGATGGCGTCTTATTATTTCCGAGTGTCATTAAAATTTATTTAGACCATATACCAAGGGCCATTAATTTTATATGCTTAACATTTTGTATTTATTTTAGAATAAACAGCAAACGAATTTCAGTCAGAGAAATTGAAAATGATGTCTGAATTTCTAATCAAAAAGCTTGCTTATAATTTTGTAAAATAATGTAGTATACTTACGGCTTATTAGGATATTATTATTTTTGACATATGCTCGTGTCTTGTAATTGAATAATCAATCTATGGAAAGATTTCACAACGCACGGCAATTGAAACACTCTTGAGTAGTAATTGATTTTATGAACGTGAACGGCACTAAGGGAAATTTATGAAACCGACTTTGATAAGGTTTCTTATTGTTGTCGCTCTAAAATGGAATTGCTTTATAATTGCAATTTAAAAACAAATTAAAATCAAACACAATTAACTCGATCTCATTGAAATATTATAGTATTTGATATCAGTCACTATTCGCTTGCACTTCTCACATTTCGCATGCAAATTGTGTTTGTCAAGTGCCCGTTGAATAGAAGAGCAGCTCATCAACCGTCTGCAACACACGCGGGTGTCGTTATGAGTGCCCGCACGGGCAAATGCTGGTGTTAAAAGTGGCCCTCTGTAGGAGGTGGCTTATCAGCGGAGACAGACCCCATAAGCATAATAAAATAATTGCTGATAACATCGGGTGTTTAGTTTACAGCGTTATATACGACAAACGATTAACAAGACTCAAAACAAATGTTCATTAGACAATTAAGAGAAAAAGGAAAATAATTTCTCATGGATTTGAAAGAATCAATTGTGCAGGTTGTGATTTCTCCATACGAGTCGATTTAATTTGTTAATATATTATTTCAGTATATTATATTTGTTAATAGGTAAATAAAAGAGTTCCTCAAATGCTTGTTTCATCCAAAAATTATTATTGACTTATAAAGCTTACAAATCAAGGTACATCTTGTGTCAAGACTTTATACTCTTATTATTTTTCATCCCAATCTAATCAATTTTATTGTGATAATGTGCTCTAGATTTGCTCCTACATTGACTATTGCCTTTGAGATAAATGCATATTTGGGTACTTGCATTTAACCTAGTCCAATTTTGATATACGTCATGTTTAAAATGAATATACTTCGAATTCTTACCTTTCAACTTTGTTTCCATATGATACAGAGTATTCCGGAGTCGAAAACTGTTTAATGTTAAACGCGGTCAGCAAAATTTTATCGTTTTTGGCAATTGGCAGTGGGTCAAGTTACCAAATATTAGCTGGGACTAAATGTGGTCTTTCTAGGAAAACCGTTTAAATTTTATATTAGGCGGACATGAGTGTCAAATAGGATTGACGTATTCTCCACGCTTTGTATGGGTAAAAGTTATTAATTGATTAGCATTGAAGAATTTAGGTTTGAGTTGTGTAAGTTGTCGAGTTCATTCTGGTCATTAGATATTTTTGCACTTCGAGTCTAGAGCTCAAGCGAGATAAGATAGCCTTTTGTACTGTGGTTAAATGTGGGGATACAGCAGCACAGTGAAACGAAGCCGTCAAACGGATAAGCCACGATTTAGGCCTGATAATTTAGAGTTTTGGCTAAGTTGATGGCATAAATCTTATTTTCAAGTCACTGAGCAAGAATGTTTGGAATTTTTCCACTCAAATTTTACTTTTCTATGGCACATTTACTCCTCTGACCGTTAATATATTTATACTATGTAAGGTAGTCTATTGTCTGTGGTATTCTATTTTATTAGATTATAGAATTTATTATTTATGCGCTCTTGCACTGGCTCTGACTCGGAGCGCACGGCAACTGAAACTGAAACTAAGCGCAAAATGTGGCAGAAAATGAGATAAAGTCCACGTAGTTTGTGCAATGCAATAATATCAATTTTCATATTTTCATTTACTTATCCGCTGAGAGAAAGACAAAAGCAATTTAACAATCTACTAAACCACTTAAGCGCAAATTTACTTCCCGGCCGCACAAGCGACATCAAAAATAAAGTAAAGGCGAAAAAACAAATGCTAAATTCCAGCATAAAGTTCGTTAGTTCGTGGGTTCGTTAGTTACAAATGCCCTATGAATAAACAACACAATGCATAATGCATGTGTGCGCTAGCTTCAAGAGATAGATCTATTTCACAAGTGTCGTAAATTTAATCAGCTTCTCAGCATCAGCGCAGATTACGACAAAGATAGCTTCGCCTCATCGACACCAGGGGCCGGCGACGTCCATCCAACCATTACCCGTGCACATTGAGCTGCCATCTGCTCCGTTGGTTCCTAGCTTTACGAATTGTTTACATTCTCATTTTGGGCTGGCGCGCCACCTTATACGATAAGATTGTACAGACAAATACGTATATATATATGTATACGTATACATATATGCATAGCTACAGACCCATTTGGCTCACGTGTAGATGAAGCTCGATAATCAGAATTGATGTGAACTGGAGCGTTCATTCAATGTCAGTGAAATTGTACTCTTTTTGAGTGGGTAAGTAGCGGCCAGATGATATCTAAAGTCATTTAGGCGGTCTCTTTTATTCGATCAAACTTTGAAGATGGGCTTAAGTAGCTCAAAATATGCCTAAATTGCTTTATTTAGGAAACCGCTTAGTTGCTTTCTATAACCATCTGAATGTCACGCGTTAAACATTTTTCCGGATAAAATAAAAACCCTTGGGATACAATCTCAAAAAAAATAAATGGAATTTTTTTCAATTCTGAATTGGCCTACAAAACAACCGAGCCGATAACTTAACTAAACCTTTTTTTGGGACTTATGTGACATATAAGAGATATCATTTAATTTGAATTGAGATAAAATATAGATCTTGTTTATGAAAATATGTATGTTCAACAATAATTTCAGTAGAAAAAGCATTTGTATATTAAAATTGAGCCATTGAAATGTATAAAATATATGTAAGGCTTACTTATAATAAGAAAAAACAACGTTGTGTAAAGTTTCTTTTTTGAAATAAAGTGGAAATCTACTTACCTGTTTTACAACTCATGCCAGTTTAATAAAAAACCATTTAATTACTTTTTAGATATGTTCATTTTTATTTAAGACTTTTACTTGATTTATGCATAAACTTTCATCAGCTTTTTGTGTACTCCGCTTTGTATTCTTTTGTTTTGTTTTTAATATGCTGAAAATTTCTTCTAAAATGTATGGAGCTCTGGAGAGTTAAAGTTCGCTGACTGCATTGTTTGTATACTAATGAATTGTAATATTTTAAGTTCTTGTTTTGTTTTAAACTTTGCTTGCCTGAAACTGCCGTGTGATGCCTTAGGTATTTTGTTTTCTCCTTTCTTTTCTTTTTGTTGTTGTAATTTTAAACTTTAATATTGCTTACATATTCGAATTTAATTACATAATTTTACAGTGATAAATGGAAACTCTTAGCACATGCTGCATGTGGTCTCTTCTGCATATTATTTTGTTTTTAATTTCTTTAATAATTTACAATTGAAACACTTAAATGTATTTTTAGATAAATAAAAATTCAAAATGCCTACATAAGAATATGTTTAATCTCTGGCTTTAACACGTGCGCTATTAATATTTTGTTTTGTTTGTTTGTTTGTTTTTTTTTTTTTTTGACTAACTGTTAAATTTTATTTAAAATTTTGGGAATATTTAAATTTTTAAACTTTATGAATATTGATATACACTAATATATATGTTGCTCATTTATGAATAAAAGCATTTTGGAATTTTTCTCGATTTCTCTTTTTGCGTCAAATGTACATAAAGTCAATTGGTATATTCGATATTCAAATGCGCTACAATATATGTTATATTTGTGTGTATATATATTAATATATATCTCATTTGTGCTTGCTTTTGAATATTTTTTCATTAATTTATTTATTTAACTAATTGATTAATTTGAAATCAATAAATGTTCCGCGCTGTGTGACGAATTTCATTGTCCTCTTCTTTTTGATTATCGCTAAATATCTGGCAAGTTGCTAATGGTTAAGTATTTATGTATTTATATATATTGTTTATATGTATCTATGTTAAATGTTAAATGGCATAAATATACACTCCAATGGCAATAATACCTAATCTATGTACAGATCTTTTGCATGGAGTCTACTATTTTCAATTTATATTGCTTAGCATACAATTTTTTTAGCTGGTTTTGCAAATTTACAATTTTGACGGATAAATCATGATTCAAGTTCGTTTATTTGTGTGTGCTTGAATTTTTCTTTACAATGTTCGCACTTAAGAATAACACAATTAAAATGGGTTTTGACGAAATATAAATAGTTTTTAAATTTCATTTGTTTGGTGTAAATATTGACTTTCAACTTGCTTTTAAAATGTAATTGGTCTATTGCCGGCATACTCTGTGCCTGAATATAGGAATCAACTTGAGTTATTAATTATTTATATATATATGTATTTGTTTTAGGCTTCCCTCGCATCAAGTAAAACGTGGTTTAATTAATTAAAAACTGCAATTCAAGTTGGACGTTTGACAATATCACGTTGCGAAATACACATAGCAATAGAAAACAATTGGCAAATGGCAAATTAAAAAATGTTTTCTTTACATCTTGCTAACTAAAAATAGTTAAAAGATTTCATTACATTACATTACTAAGTATATAGCTCTGTCTCTGTTTGTTTTTTTTTTTTTTTTTTTTTTTTAATATAAATATAGTTATATATATAAGTATATATATAAATGCCAACATTATCGGAGGAAGGATTGACTGACTAACTGACTTTGCTTTGTGTGCTTTCTCTTACTCTTTCTCTCTCTCTCTTACTCTCTCTCTCGCTCACTCACTCTCTCTCACTCCCTCTCTCTCTCTCTCGCGCTTTCTCTGTTGCTATCTATCTGTCTCTATACACTATACATTTGAACTGAAAGACGTCTTGGCCTTTTTTCACTATCGAATCACAGCAATTGAAATACATACATATATCTAAATCAAAGATCGGATACAGTTATATCGAGAACCTAAGCTAATATCGGTATATGATAAATGGGTTGTTATTGATCTTTGTCATCGTGAGCCGTTGGTGCCGCATTGGCATTGGTATTTTTGCGCAAGTGATTGCGCAGCATCACCAGGTTCCGATTGAGGGGAACATTGCTGGAGAGGCCCAGCGTGCTGCTGCTGCTGCTGCCACTGGATGGGGCATGCGGGAGTGTGTTGCAAATGTTGCCAAGGGGCGCTGTTGCATTCAGGTTGCTGGCACTGCTAGGGCAACCCACCATGCTGGCCGAAGCGACCGAGGTGGTGGGTGAGGTGGCGCCCAAGCTACTGCCGCCTCCGCCGCCCACTTGGCCCACGCCCAGCAGCAGCTCGTGGGCGAGTATGGTTGGCAAATGTTAAGTGCTGCTCTTCAGCGGACCCGACGATAGCGAACTGCTGCTGACGCCCGAATCGCTCGACTTCTCACTGAGTCCGCCACGTGTGAGCGTATCGTCGCCCATAAGACCGCCGGCGCCAAGAAAGGACTTCTTGCCGACGCGCGCCGGCAGCGTCGCCTTGAACGGATTGTCCTTGCAGCGACGCGCGCTCTCCACCCGCTTCATAATCTCGCTGGAGCACTTGGACACCACATCGTCCAAGCTGTTCGATTCGTCCGTAGAGTTCACCGTCTGCGTGGGCGTCTGTGAACTCGGTAGCGGCGAGCCCTCATAGCAGCCGGAATCGCGCGGAAAGTGTCGTCGCCCAAAGGGCGAAGCGCCGTGCTTCTTGTTAATATTATTCAGACGCGCCTCGTCGTTCTCGGAGCTGGAGCCGGCGATGTCCACGTCGGAGCCTGTGCGTGCGAAATTTGTAGCTGTGTTAAGTGCGTGTGTGTATGTGAGTGTCAGTCGGTTGGGTGTGGATTATGTGGAGTCGGGCATACAGCGATATATATTGATAGTCAGGCATGGGGCGTGGTTGAAGGCGGGCGCAGTTACTTACATTCAATGTCATGCAACAGCTGCACGGCCGTCAGTAGCTTGGCGCGATGCTCCTGGTTGAGTATGCCCAGATAATCCAAATCTGCCGGCTCGAGTTCCTTGAACAGTTCCAGATCCTCGTAGCTGCAAATGGAACGATAGGTGAAACAATCCAACAAAAAATTTGTTGTGAAATTTGTTTCATCTACACCACTTACCCGTTGAGCACAAACACCGAGGTGTACTCCTTGAGACCGATGCGAATCAGCAGATCCTCCACAGAGCTGGGTCCACTGTTGCCGCCGCTGCCATTATTGCTGCTGGCCACACGGGCGGAGGCTGGCGCCAGGGTTTTGCTGCTGGAGCTCTTCATGCGTTGCTCGGGCAGCACCTCCACATTGATGAACTTGAAGTGACCCACACGGCCATGACAGCGACCCTTCCAAATACCCGAGGCATTCATCGACAGTACATCGATAAGTTCACCCTTCTGCAGGTGGCGAGTGAAGCATTAAATATAAAAAACTCGGTGCAGTTGAGCTTCGGCTTACCTTGAATTTAAGCGCCTCCTTGTCGTACGGATTGGGCAGACTGTCGACAAGTGCCTTGGCTTTGCAAATGGACGCCAGGGAGGTGCGATCCTCGGCTGAAATGGAGCTGTGCGGGCTGCCAGGGCGCACTAGTGCCTGAGTGCCTGTCGAAAATGGATGGTTTCAAGTTTAAATATTTGTCTCGACAAAATTTCGATGGAAGTTTGCCCAGAAAATTTTCCAATTAATGCGCCCACAGCCAATTAGCCAAGGGCTAAAGAATTTGGCAGTGCCCAAAATACAAACACACAAATAGACGCACACACACACACACACGCACGCGCACACACAGTACGTTTGGTTAATTAAAAACTTTTCAAATATTTTTACACACACTCTTACATAGGGAGAATGAGACAGAAAAAGAGAAAGAGAGAGAGAGAGTGTGTAAGGGAGGGGGGAGGCTGGTGGACACAGACACAAAGCCCGTTACGCCCAGAAAATATTCAAATAAGCACTTGAAGTTTTTGGCCAAAGCTTTGGCTAATCCTTGCTTTGTGTCCTGGCCACATGAAAATAAAGTATTTTTTCTTGCACTTTTCAAAGTTGCTCCTGTAACCCACCCCTCGTCCCTCATCCCTTGACTATCCCAGTCAGGCGCCTGCTTCGGCTTTTTGTTTTGTTTTGCTTTATTTTTTGTTTTTTTCTTTATTTAGTGTAGAAATTTGCGCATATAGCGAAAACTTTTGTTCATTAAAAACTGAGCAACATCAGCAACAGCAGCAACAACAGCAGCTGCCTCAACGGCTGCCCTTTATTTAACCACGCCCCAGACATTGCACCAGGCTGCATAGCCTGGCCTATGCACTTGCCACATTGCCAGCTGCCAGTTGCCAGTCGCCACTTGACTGTGCGCAAGTGCATTAAAAATTCATTAAGTTTGCAAAATTTCAAGTTATTGTGCAGCGGTTGCAGAACAACCGCAACAACAACAACTACAGCTGTTAATAGACCAATATGCAACACGAACGGATGGGGGCGTGCTGATGGGCTGCAGTCTGGGAATTTTTATAAACAAACCGCCAGAGCCGAGGCGAACGCTTTAAGCGAAAGCAAATGCAAAGGCAAAATCAAAACTCTAAATTGTAAGCATACACACACACACTCCCTCACACACACACACACATTCTCACATACCTAAATAGTTATCTAGAGCTTTATACTTACTCGAACCGGAAGCACTGGGCAAACTTTCAACGGAGCTGGCGGAACATGCAAACGCCTGATCGCTCATGCTGCCACGGTCGGTATTATCTTGGGAATTGCTGAAATCCCTTGATGTATCCTTTGTGGCAACAAAGTTTCGTCCATTCTCATTAAATGCGCCAATTTCCTTTGGCGAGCTACGCATTTCGCTCGACTGCAGCAACACCAGAGTGAAAGTTGTTTCGTCGTAGTCGGCGTCGTCGTGTTGTGCAATAAATTGCATGTTGAGCCGGGCAGGGGGCAGCAGTTGGAATGGGAGCATATAGAATAGAGCAAAAGTTTTGTTAGTTAAATCATTAAAAAGTTTAATGCTACCACACAAATTCCCTCATACACACACACGCACACCAAGAGTTACTCTTACAGACGGACCCCTTACAGTGGCCAGCTTTTTCAAATCTTGGATTTGGCTGCAGTGCTTCCGCTTTGGCTTTGGCTTCGGCTTCGGCTTTGACCCTTTTTTTTTGGGTGGTTTGACAGTCAATATTAAACTGCTGCTGTTGGCACAAAACTTTGCTCATATCTCGCACAGTCAACAGGCCTAGGCGCCGATTGCAACTCTTGCCACAATCTAACAAAGCAACAAAGTTGTCTGCAACATTTTTGGGTTGCATTCTCGAACTGAAAAAAACCTCGGTTTTACAAAGTCAGAATAATAGAGGCATGGGTTCGAGTACATGATGGATGCCCCGTATTTCCATTACGAATTTCTGTGAACCAAAAACTATGGTATTTTTATATATTTTTAAAACGTTTTTCCGTATTTTTTACATTTTGGTGTTATGTATTTCCTTCGGATATGCCATTATTCGGCATCGTACGCCTTGACTTTAGTAACAGACTAGAATAGTTTTATTTTTTTTTGAAATCTTTGTAGTTTTATAAATTGATACAAAATTTGTGTTGTTTTTCTTTGTTTTTTTTTTTTTTTTTTTTTTTTGTTTGGTTTTAGACTTCATAAAAAGAAAACTTTTGCCGGTACAAGTACAATGTCCACAGTGCATTCCTGTGAATTTGAAGTTTTTGGCAAGGTGCAGGGCGTCTATTTTCGCCGTCATGCTGAGATTAAGGCCAAGACTCTGGGGCTACGTGGCTGGTGCATGAACACGGCGGATGGTACGGTAAAGGGCTATATCGAGGGTCCACGGAACGAGATGAATCTGATGAAGGAGTGGCTCCGCAATACCGGCAGTCCCACGAGTAACATTGTCAAAGCCGAGTTTACTAGGGACGAGGAGAAGCGAGACTATGGATTCAAGAACTTTCAAATAAGACCCGACGCGCCCAAAGAAAAGAATCGCAAAATGACAAACAGAGAAAGCAATATGACGAAATATGAGGAGGAGCATGATTCATAGACCCTAATACCCAAAAAATGGCATTTGTATGACCAAGGATATTAAATATAAACGGAGTCTTAAAACTAATCCTGTGACTATAATATATTATCATTAAGATACGTTCTATGTTAGGTTATCTCCTTTGGTCTGAATAGGTGGTTCATTGACATTACTCGAAACTTACGCCCATCAGTTGTTTTAAATGCCTACATAACTATATCTATATATTTTTTTATTTATTTTTTTTGCAAAATGCAATCTGTTTCTGTGTTCAAGCTTCTCTGGTAACTGTGCATTGCCCACTGCAGCGTCAAGTAACCATGGCCTAAACCGAAAATGAGCTTTCACTTTTTGGGCTTGCCACATAGGCATAGGGATGCGAACCACGTGACCGGATGCATGTCCATGTCCAGCGTTTGGACTCGCATAAAAACTCATTTAACTGGCATTTGCATTTAGAGTGCATGTTCAAGCGTTGTTGCCCTGGCGAGCATATCACGCGCCCTTTACGCCACGTTTTTGTTGAGCCTTTTGGTCCTTTTGGAAAACGTTTTCTGCATCGGCCGTAGACAAATTGCAAGTGGCTTAGATAGAGGCGCTCACAAATTCCAATCAGGCGCATATGTAAATGCCCAAGCTAATTACATTTTGCAGCTCACAGATTTGCGGTGAGTCAATAAGCTGAATGCTGTTCGTGTATAGCAAATGCAATTGCAATCACACTCATACACAGACACACAAACATGCATACATATACATACATTTGATTAATTAACTTACATGATGCACCATGGCCTTCTGACAAATCGTATTCGCCTTGTGCGGCAGTCCATTCTTTTTGGCCTTCGCTGCAAAACTCGGCGGCAGTCCGTGCCTTGTGGCGCCAATGTCCTCGTAATCGGATGACGGACTCGGTGACAGGGACGGCGACTCACCAATGCCGCCGCTAAGCGTGCGGTATCTGGCGGTGCAATTGTTGGTGCCAATCTGTGGTAGACGAAGGAGAAGCAGTGGCAGAGCTTGTTAAACGCGTTTCATATTAAACAGACGAGTCAAGTTGGGTTTGCAAATGAAATGGCCAGCAGGGAAACGAGTGCCGGCACATCGACATCGTTTAGCTGGCTTAAGTGGCTGCCCTGGGAGCTGCCATTGCTCCAGTCAAAAAGGAAAACTTTTGGCTAAAAAGCTTTTCCAGTTTTTATGCTCGCACACAGTCTATGTGCATTTTGTTGTTCTTCCTGGTCGTTCAGCTCGTTGCCAACTTTGTTTGTCACTAAGTGCACTTAATCAATTTAGACGACGCATTAAGACGCACACACACACACACACACACACACACACCTACTCACACACGTGTGTGTGCGTGTACAACTTAAATGAGCTGCTTCGTCTAATGGCTTTTGCCTTACTCACCGAAACTGTGCTCAGCCTGGAGGTAACGCTTTGTAAATCCGAAATGGAGCCCGCATAGTCGCCGCTCTCGCGATCATGAGACCTGTAAAGGCAAAATCAGAGTTGGGGATTAATATAGTCCATTTAGCGTGCATTGACAGCATTTATAAACTGAATAGGTAACTACTTCCGTTGTGCTCTATGGTAAAGAACTTTGGTAAAAGAAAAGTACATACGTTTGCAAAAGCTATATAACGTTTTTTCACTTTAATCCAAACCTTAATTAAAACATATTTTTCATATTCGCGAAACTGGTTCTAAAACCAAAACCAAAGGCGGCGCATAGATTTGAATTAAATCATTTTCATTTTACATATTCCTGTTAAGTTATTTATCTCGGTCTAGTTCCTAACCTTTTATGTTGTTTAACATTTGTTTAAACTTACATAACATTTTAAATAACCAACTTCTCACCTTCTTCTATATTTCACAAAACTTTTAGCTAGCCGTCAATTGGACCAGCAGCAGCTCTCAGCTCGTTGAGATCTAAGCAAACTATTTAAATTATATACCAAATATTTGCTCATCTTCACCTTGAGGAGCCAGCAGCTGCCAAAGAAAACTGACGAAAGTTGAGCAGGGCTATACCGTATACCGTCCGTATCCTGTATCCTGGCTAACACTCGAAAAGCTTTATGGTAACCGTTTTGATTTCAAACCAGAATTTTGTTGCTGCTAAACAAATATGTATACACAAGGCCAACAACAACAGCAATAATAACACTCGGCACAAAGGTCTTGGGTCCACAGGCAAGCAAAAGCTCATATAAATAAATATTTTATACCTTTTTTCGACTACTTCTGTTTCTTTTCCTTTTTATTTGTTGTGCCTGGGCATTTGACTTTAACACTGTTGAGATTTTCACTTTTGGCTGTTGTTCGTTTTTCGCTTTTTCGCTTTTTCCATTTCCATTTTCATTTATTTTTCTTTTTTTTTTTTCTTTTATTTGGCAAAGAAAGTTTTTGTTTTGGCCCTAAGGGCGCACAGGGCGTATAAGTTATTTCAGCACGTCTTTTGTATAGTTGGCCGGTGCGTACGTGTGGAAAACGGTTCTCCAATTGGCAACTGGCAACTGGTAACTGACGACCGACTGGCGACTGGCGAGTCTCGAATGTCGACTGTCCCGGCTGATTGACGAGCCGTGTTGCACAGTGTTCTGGAGCCGCGTTGAAGTAGCAATAATGCCAATTCATTCAAGTGTCGTCGCTGTCTGTGTGTTGGGCCAATATTGCAGACGTCGACGACTTCTTATTAGTTTGGGGCCAGCTGACTGACACGCCTCCCAGAAACAGACTCCCGATCCGGCCGCCAGCCCACTTCGGCGCTCCATCCACCTGACAGTCCATGTTTTATTCTTTGTGGCATGCGTAACAATATGAAATTGATGACTTTCGCTCCAATGCGCTGCGATATGTTGCAAGCAGTCGGTCAGACAGGACACTCAAAGAGTCAGTTTGTCATTCATTCATACACTCATTCACTCACTCATTCATTTGTTTGGCTCGTTCATTCATGTGGCTGCAAAATGTTGATAACGGCACTAATGAAGTGAGTCTACCTTTTTATTTGGGGGGGACGGCCTGTTGTCCGGGTCAATCCTTTTGCGCACCTTTTCATATTGACAAATAAATTTGAGGCTTCCGAAGGGGGCAGCTACGGGACAGCAATTGAACTGCTTGATTGCTTTGCTGTGCTTTGGTTTGGCTAGATTCGATTTGGTTTGGTTTGGTTTGGCTTGAATCGGTTCGGTCAGCTATTAGTGTTGGGTTGTTTACAGAGCTAAATGTTTGGCCTTTTCATGCCACACTGCACACATTTGTGGCACATTTTGTGCTTCACTGAGCCTTCCTGAGCAGCGCTTTGAAGTGGTCAAAGGGTTAAGGCTGGGCCACCCTGCAAGTGCCAGATATGACCCGACAACTGCCCGGCATTCATCTTACCCTACTTATATATCTACTATACGTATTTATATTTTTTCTTCTTGCCATCGCTTGTGGTTGCTTTTGTATTATTAATGCGTTGCCTTTGGCCCCACAAATAATAATGGCAATCAGCAAGACCCTATTCCCAACCACCCCAACCTGGACACTGTGGCAGCACTCACCTGGCATGCGTTAACGGTATTATTGTCGGCGGATTTGGCGGCTGCTGCGGCACGATAAGCCCTCTTCGCGGCGGTCCGCGTTGCGGTAGTGAAATATCTCCGGCGGATCTTAATGAAATTACGCCCGTGCTCTCGCGGTTGTTCGAAAAGCGCACGCGGCCACCCTGAAAGAGAGAGAGAGAGAAAAGGAGGAAAAAGTTGGTGAGTGAGACAGAGATATGAGAAAAGTAAGCGAAACATGCGGATTAGCGCTCAAGTAGAATTTGTTGCAACAGCAACAGCAACAGCAACAGTAGCAACAAATTATGAAAAATTAACAAAGTTATAAAACTTTATGCGCCGCGCGTTGCTGCTGAGTTGAGTTTACTTTTGGGCCGTTGTGGCTATTGTTGTTATTGCTGCTTGTCGTTGTTGTTTGGCAGTGATTTGCTGCTGCTATTGCTGGTTGTTGGGCCTTGTTGCCTTATTTTTATTTTGCTTGGAATTTTAAATTTAGTTTATTCGAACGCAGCGGAAATTGCAAAGTTGTTGTTTCAAATTTGAAGCAATGCCACATACACACCCGCACCCACACGCACACACTTCTCAATTACAGCAACTTTCAGTTTTTGACGCAATTTGTGGCGACATGTAAATTGCAAAGTTTTTGAAGCATGCATACTTGCTGCTGTGGCTTGCTTCATAAGGCCAGTTGCTGTTCACAGCAAAGTTGCGAGTTAGCGGCTAGCAGGCGCATAGATAATGAATATGTTGCGTACTTTTTGGCATGCTGGCCCATCATCAAAGCTCGAATGCTAATTGTATGCATTGGACTCTTATTTTCTGTGCTTTGGGTCCCATTAACATGGGCCAAGCTGCGGTTCGCTGGGCAACAACAGCAGAAAGAAATAGGGACAATTGTGTGCTTCACATTTTTATGGACAGGCTGAGAGCAGAGTGCTGCGCAATCCGCAAGAAACTTTTTGCTAAACAAATTTTTGTTCCTCGCTAAAGTTGTTGCTGTTGTTCTTGTTGTTGCAGATCCTTTACGTATTGCCACATCAAAGCGAATGCTGAAATTGAAAGGCCACAAAGGGCGGCTCAAGCATATCGAAGCCGCGCTGCTGAGTGATTTCAATTGACTAAGAAAACAAAATTTCTGCGTTCGCCCCAAGAGCGATGGGCGCAACCCCCAGCACAAGTCCAAACCCAATTCAACCCCCTCTTAGGCGCAGCAACAAAAGCGCAACTTCTGTGCATATCACAAGGCAAATAAACGAAAAATTGGGAAAAAGTAAATTTTATGCAAAGCCTGAGGAAAAGTCTCAAGACGCCGTCGCCGGGTTGAACAAGTCAACAAGAATTATGCACTTTTTGACTGTCAATAAAAATAAAGTCAGCTGAAGTTCAACTCGCAGTCGCAGTCGAAGTGGCAGTTGCCGTTGAGAGTTGTCGAGAAAAAATGCCAAAGGACATACAAATCGAAGTTGGAAATCAATGCGCAGGCAAAATATATTCAGCGTATAATTTAATAAAGCAAATAAAAAGAGA